TTGACTTTTTGAGTAAACTTTAGAAAATTCATTTTCATGCATTGGGGTTGATTCATTTAGCGTTTATTGACGTAATTAAGTAACTTGTGACTAGATACGAGCGAATTGGTAGTGGAATCAAGGGGTAAAGCTATAGTTGAATCGTGAATTGTGTTCGTAGCATCGAGGTAAGTGTTTGGTCTAACCTTAGCTTGAGGGATTAGGAGTTGTGTCTTATTTGCTACATGTTAATTGTGGAGTACGACGTATAGGCATGGTGACGAGTATCTATACGTTGGTGTCAAGCATGCCCGTGAGTCTTGTATTATAATTCTTATGACTCCGTTGTGGTTTATTGCGCTTCATATGTTATTATTGCCGGGAAGTTGTTATATTACTCTTGTTCCCTTGTCGGGATTCCTTGTGATTATTGTTGGCTTGTAACTGGGAACGGGTGGTGCGCCTACCACAAAATATAATGAAATGGGAGCGGGTGGTACGCCTACCACAAGATATAATGAAATGGGAGCGGGTGGTACGCCTACTGCAAGATATAATGAAATGTGGGTGGTACGCCTACCACAAGATATAATGAAATGGGAGCGGGTGGTACGCCTACCACAAGATAAATGAAATGGGAACGGGTGGTACTACCACGAGATAAATTAAATGGGAGCGGCTGGCATGCCTGCCACGAGATACAGGAATCGGGATCGGGTTGCATGCTTGCAACAATATGTGAAAAGAAAGTGAAATCTGTCTTTGTTTTCCTTATTCCTGTTAGTAATTGATTTTGATTCCTTTATAATTCTTTTGATATTCTGTTTTACCTGTTATTCCCCGAAGCATGTTTCCCCCTCCTATCATTATTTGTTTATTTCTGTATTTCTTTTCCGCTGTATATATATTTGAACTGCACAGGTTTACTTGGTAGTCTAGTCCTAACCTCGTCACTACCTCGCCGGGGTTAGGCTAGATACTTACCAGCACATGGGGTCGGTAGTACTGATACTATACTCTGCACTATGTGCAGATCCCGGAGCAGCTTTTGGACCGTAGTGTGGAGGCTACCTTCAGTCCACGCGGAGATCCAAGATAGACCTGCAGGCGTCTGCAGGCCCTGGCGTCTCCCTCTATCCCTATTTCCTATTTCATTTTCCTTTTATTCAGAAACAGTGTATTGTCATTTTCTTCAGACTTTGTATATAGTAATCTTTTAGACCGTCTATGACGTTGTGACACCAGATTTTTGGTGCTTTAGGTTTTAAGAGTTGTAATAGATGCAGATTTCAGATATTTAATTGTTATCTTCCGCTTAATTATTTAAAGTTTCGCTGTTTTTAAGTTATCACCTTATATTTGTTTTAAAGAAATAATCGGTTAATGAAGTAATTAGATCAAAGATTTGGCTTGCTTAGCTCACATTAGTAGGCGCCATCACGACTCCTGAGGGTGGGAAATCAGGGTCGTGACAAATAGCTTTGTATGGTGATTTTGGTCTTAGGCGCATGTCCGGATTTGAATTTGGAAGTCTGTAGGTTGATTTGATACTTTTTGGCGAAAGTTGGAAAAGTTGGAGTTTTGGAAGGTTGAGAGATTTGACCGGGAGTTGAATTTGTTGATATCAAGTTCAAATTGTGATTTCTGGAGTTAGTATAGATCATTGTGTTATTTGGGACTTGCATGCAAAATTTGAGGTCATTGCGAGTTGATTTGATAAGATTCGGTGCGAGTTGTGGAAGTTGAAAGTTCATTAGGCTTGAATTGAGCGATTCATACTTTTGATATTGTTTGATATGATTTGAGGCCTCGAGTAGGTCTGCATTATGTTATGGAATTGGTTGGTATGATTGGACGGGGTCTCAGAAGCCCCGGTGTGTTTCGAACGAGTTTTGAATCATTTCCATATTCTTGGGCAAGCCTAGTTCTCGTGTTTCGCATCTGCACAAGTGGGAGCGCAGGTGCGGAGTCGCTTCTACAAAATTTTGGTCGCTTCTGCGACGTTGGGTCATGTTCAGATGTTCCTCTCCTGAGGATGAGGAACTGCATGTGCGATATCGCATTTGTGGAATATTGATCGCAGATGCGAAATAGAGGCTCAAGGTGGTCGTTCGCTTCTGCGGAGATTTGGGCGCTTCTGCGGGGTCACAGATGCAATGGTCTATTCGCAGGAGCGGTCCTAATCTGGTAAGTAGAAGTCGCAGGTGCAGGATTTGGCTCGCAAAAGCGAGAGCGCAAATGCGATGTTTTGTCCGCAAATGCGGAAATCCCTGGCAGAAAGTATATAGTTCGAGGGTTTGGTTATTTTATCATATTTTGAGTTGTAGAGCTTGATTTTGGGTGATTTTGGATGGGATTTTTATGATTTGGATTGGGGTAAGTATTCTTGACCCGTATTTGGTTATATTTCATGATTTCATCCTTGTTTTTATCATTAAATTAGTGATTTGTATTGGAGAAATTGGAGATTTTTGTAAAAGCTTTCTAAAACATAAAATAGTGATTTGAGGGCTGATCTGAGGACGGGATTGGATGATTTCCGTATAGTTGGACTCGTATCAAAATGGGTGTTCGAATTTTGTGAGTTTTGTCGGGTTCCGAGGTGCGAGCCCGGGGTTGACTTTTTTATTCTTGTTCAATATTGAAGCTTTATTATCCGAAATTGTTTCCTATTATATTTATGATATTAAGTTATTTTGACTAAATTTGATCAGTATGGAGGTTGTTACACACGGGAGGGCCTTTTTAGAGTACTGATTTAGCTTCTTTGAGGTAAGTATCTTGTCTAACCCTGTGTGACCCCTTAGGATTTGGATTGATTGTATTGTTGGAATTATGTGAAAGGTGTGTACATGAGATGACGAGAGTGTAATCAGCTCATATATGGAAAAATTGACTGATTTAGACTCTTAGGTTACTTTATGCATTTAATTAGAAATTGTTATTACTTGTTACATCTTTCGTTGTTGAATTCATTCTTATATGCTTAGATTGTAGTTGTTATTTCATGCTCTAGCTCCCATTGTCGAGTTTAATCTTATGTGTCTTAATTGAAGTTACTATTATATGTTATAATTTTCATTGTCAAATTTATTATGCATAAACCGAAGTTGTTAGAACATGTTCTATCCACCGTTGTTGAGTTACTCTGATATGTATTCAATTGAAGTTGTTAGTATACGTCATGCCTTTCATTGTTAAGTTAATTCTTAAGAAAGTAATGGAAGTTGGACCTTTTGAGAGTTATTAACCTATTTTAGTTAAAGTTGTTGTTTATGGAGTATCCTTCATTGTTGAGTTATTTTCTGTATCATTATGTTGTTATTGAGATTTGTGTTCACATCGTGGTTGAGCCGTGGGCTATGTGTTGTGGTGACATTGATACTGCTGTTTTTGAAAGGTTGAGGCCTATGTGTTGATGTGATGTTAGCACATGCGGATTTGTGTGTGGATTGATTGTTCAATGCGAAGCATAATGGTGGCATCTCACTATTGTTAATTATGCGGAGTGATATAGGTGGCTATTTTGTTTATTATCTCGGTGGAGCGATAAGGATGGATATTATGAGGAGTGATATGGGTAGCTATCGTGATGTATTGTCTAGGCAGAGTGATAAGGGTGGCTATTATGATATTGTCATTATGGAGAGATAAGGGGGGCTATGTTAGGGTTGATATGTGTTGGCCTGGGGGCACAATGTTGATGAATTTTGTGTGGTGGTATGATTTTCCTTGTGTGTATTAGGTGCCTTACGTGTCTTGTTGTGTTGTTTCTAATGAACTACTTGGTGTCTTTGATATTACTTGTTGGGCTGTAATAATACACTCGCACAAGCATACAACCGTAGCATGTTGTTTACACCAGTTCAGGAGCATGGAACTTAACATTCATTGATCATGCACATGTACTCTTGTATTATCTGTTTCCATTATGATATTGATCCTATGACCACGACTGATTGCGATAGTGATCCTATGACCATACTTGGCGGATTGTGATAGTGGGCTTGTTACCATGCCGGGTGGATTGAGATAATGACATGTGAGTTGTCCTTGTGATCGTAATTGATAATGTGGCACAAGATGTTATGAGCATATGATTTGTGATTTAGGACTCATGACTTGTGTTTATGAGATGAGGTATCTCGGAGTAATCTTGTTGTAAACCTTATGTTAGAACGGCTTGATTATTTGGTTGTCATTTGTTTATCTTATTTGGTTTCGCTGGTACTTTAACATGATTCCGGTTACTTTACTATTTTTATCACATGTTTATTCCTTGTTGTCATTTTACTGATTCTTGCTTCCCTTATTAGCTTTATACTCATATACTGTAGAGGTTATTATTACTATTAGGTGTCTTGACTTGTACCTGGTCACTACCCACCGAGATTAATCTTGATACTTATTAGGTACCAACCATGGGGTACTCATACTACACTTTCATACATTTTTGTGTAAATCCAGGTATTGGAGATAACAGACTCAGGCGGAGTTAGCTTCTTGATCGCGAGGATTCAAGATAGAACTACTTAGTCATCACAATCCCTTGGAGTCCTTTTTCTTTTGATTGTACAATCAATTCGTTATCCGAACATTATTGTATTTTGACTTTGAGATATCTCTATGTATTCATCTAGAGTTTGTGACTCTGTATTACCTAGTATTGGAAGGTTGTTGTGATTATTGTCGCGTAGGCTTGTTTCACCTTTATTTCGATATTTATATTAAACTCTAGTTTAAAAGATCATGTTTAACTAGTTTAACTGTTGTAAGCAATCGGCTTACCTAGTCTTAGAGACTAGGTGTCATCACAAGGCATAAGGCAGGAATTGGGTCGTGACACAACAATATAAAGTGAGGGAAAGAACTAGACTATGTGTTAGGCTGACAATTAGTCAGGCCTAATTTAAATTTAAGGAGCAACATACTTTAGCACAGCAACGCAACTGGAAGAGTACGCAGCTCAACTCAGTGGTCTTGCGCCAGAGTTCATCATGAACTCCATAAGGCCCAAATGGTTCATGCAAAAAAAAGATTTCATTAGCACTTGCATATGAGACATAATACAGAATCATAAAAGATGAATATGAACATGATCCAAAGGACAAAGCTAAACAAACATTTATTTGTTACACCCCTCTAAGGATTAGTCAAGGCCAAGGATCATTGGCTAGAATAAACCATATTCACCTACAAAGTCTCCTTATGAACCCCTGGCACTTCAGAGTCACAGAGGTCTCTAAGACCCAGAGTAGTGCTTGTGCTAGTGAGGTGGTCCCTTGATAGTGAAGTCAAGCTCATAATAGAAGCCATTAACAACTTAACCTTGCTCTTGCATAGCGATTTGACACATAAATCTTGACTTAAAGTCTTTACACAAGCAACCTGACCAAGGAGGCCCAAGCAGCAACCACAATAAAACTTCTTACATCACAGAAGGTCCGTGCAATGTCTTAAATCATATGAGCATGACAGGTTTAAGGACTTAATCAAATGAAGCACAACAATCTCAAAATAACTAGACTTATTGACATACTATCACTAATATTAAACAGTTAGTTAGGTAAAATAAATAGATAATTAGGGCACTAACACATGCTTCCAATTCAAAGTATCCTTAGTAAGTGATCACTGTTGGAGTACATGATGCAGGAGTATATCATCACGTATAGGATCTCAAAAGGGTTTAGGAAGTTTCAAAGGCTCGGAGTCAACTCAGAATCATTCTATATGCCATGACACATACATAATCTTCTTAGGAGTCACTGTTTCAGCCAAATATGATCAAATAGAGTCTCAGAATAAAAGTTGTTAATCATTTATCCCTATAGGCATGCTTACTATGTTAAATATGCTTTCAAGATTGAGACCTTAGCTAGAGTTTATCATGAAATGAACATTCCAAACATGTATTCCCTTATTAGGTTTCAATAGAGGTCTAGCGCTTCACTGAGAATACGGTAACAACAAGCATGACTTTTGCACTCATCATGAATCAGAATTTATAGGAAACCAAAACACCCCCAGGACAGACACTTAATGACCCAAACTTCAATGCATATTAAGCTATCTCGATCAAGCATTTCATGATAAAAAAATAGCCTTACAAAGGTCATGTTAACAGAAGCGACAACAAGAGCTATTCAACATGATAGAGTAATCTGATTTTAATCTCAAATTGAACCCTATAGGCATGGTATCTCTAACATAATAGTGCATGGTAAAAGAGAATAACATTTAGTTAGAACTATCAATCAGCCTATACTAACAATGCTTAACCAACAGACTAGGCAGTGTTAACTCGTACCAATGAAAAACTTTGAAACATAGTCTTTACAACAACAAACAGTCATAAGATGGCAAGGGCACTTGTTTACAGCTAACACTAACAAAGCAGGCATTTGATTTCAAGTCAATAGGTAGTTCACTAAACGAAACATGATCACCATTAAGCCATAAAGTGTAACATGCTAAGCTAGGTAGACAAATCTCATAACATGCTTCAGATGCTAACATGATAAGCAAGATTGAAACACACTCATTAGACCAATTAAGTAGAATAACTACACATGAGAAGCTATAAATGAGATCTGGCCATTGAAACGAATTGTAAAAGTGTACTGACCTTCCGTAGGGAAACAAACCAGGGTATTGAACTTAGTCGTTAGGAATTAGTACTCACACTCAACTTCAAGACAATTAAGTTTAACAAAAAACAAAAAAAAAAAAGAAATTATAAGCAATAGGCAGAGATATTTATACTTTAGTGTAGTTGCATTTACTACTAGTTGTTCGATTGTCAGGTGAGGCATTTAAGCCGGTATTTATAGCCAGGGATTGGCCTTAGGGTTCTGAGTTTGAACATTCAAAGTTGATACAAGATAGAGAAAAATTATGAACACTAATGAAAGATCATATGACGATATCAAGGGAAAAGGATTGAAAAACAGACGGAAAAGAGAATAAGGATTACCCTATCAGAACAGACTAGTCGTTGAAGCTTAGTGACCTCCGGACAAAGCTTTTACCCAGAGGTCCTTTCGTTTGGCCTCTGGGTCATCATAATTCACCGTGAGGTTGAGATTCCCATGAATCTGAAATTGCATGCCATGTTTTAATGGCAATTTTGAACAGAGGTGGGTGTGATGATGAGATTTGGGGCCTTTCACATTAGAGGCTAGGGTTTTGGAATTTGGGGATTTGGAAGGGGATGATGGAAATAGGCATTTTCGGCTAGATTCGCGGCTGGGGGGAAGGGGTAACGATAATGGTTTCACAGTTGTCTCTTAGACTTTGCATCAATTTGTGCCACGTCTCAGAGATTGCAGAGAGGAAAGGACGACGAGAGTGAGAGAGGAAAAGGGAAATGGGGCGGTTGGCGCAGTGAGGGAATGACATATGGTTTGGGGGTTTGGTATGTTTAAAATGGAGGAGTGATCTTGGGCCGTTGGATCAATTAGATCAATGGCTCATATTTATTTTTAGTTTAAAGAATAAAAAGAAAACAATTTGGGGATTAAACGGGACCGTTGGATCAAGAGATTAAAACTAAAGGGAAAAGCGTGATTAATGTGGACCATTGATAAGTTTGATCAACGATCCCTGTGCATTGTTTTAGTTTTGTGAGAGACTTTGGAGTGCTTTTTTTTGCCAATTTTGGACAAAATTTGTTGGGTTCTGTAAGAATAGGCTGAAATTAAACCCCATAGCCACTTTAATCTAAACTCACTAATTGCAAATGTATCCTGTTTTTAATCTTAACCCCTTTTTCATAATTAAATTAATTAAACTTATTTAATCCTAATAAAACATAATAAAGTACAATTAAAGGAAATATTATTAACCAATTACTATAAGCTAATTTTATATTATCAAAATAATTAAAAAGATCTCATAGTTATATATATTAAAATCATAAAAGCCGATTGGTTAATTAATTAAAATAATAGCGGTGGTATGATTGTAATTATTTAAGACACTATTATTTTATAAGTATAAGCATATAATTAATATTAGTAACTATTATTACTGCAATTATTACTTATTATATATTATATATATTTCCAGAAAAATAGATAATTTGAATAATAATTTCAAAAAGACCTTATTAAATTATTATTGATCAAGAAGCTTAATAATTTATTAGAAGAGAGGGAGGGTCAAAAATAGTCGTCAATGAAACCTGATTCTCGTATATGGTTTGTTAATTATCAAAACATCATTTCATGCTCAGCTCAATGTACCCCACAGAGCTTTTTTTGCTCAATGGTATAGTTTAATCCATGGATTACCTTAAGTTCTAATAGTCAAATAGTTTTTAAGTGCTAATGTCGCCTAGCGAGCTACAGATAATTTGTAAATATGCAATTTTTGCAGAAACAGCATGGCGACTGGGATATTCCGAACCAATGCCACAACAAAGAGGTACTTGATGGGCTGAACAAATCCTTATCAATTGCTTCTCTCTGCTCTGTTTGGATCAATAGCTACTATCTGCTCCATCTACTACATTTTCATCACCACTCACCCCCAACAACACCTTTTGCCCCCACCCCTAACAAGAAGTTATATCGTTTTTCCTATGTTATAAATGAAGAGACACAAATTCAACAATTTGATAAGCATTTTCTGAACTTTTGATGGGCCAGTTAGAAAGCTCTGTCGAATCCAGATCTTTCCTTTAGGGCTTTTGAAATAGCTTGAATAGTGGACGGTGTTGTCCGGCAACAACCACCGATGAGTTTAGCACCTGCGTCGCGCTATATTGGTGCAAACTGCTCGAACTTCTCTTCATCAAAGCATTTCGATGGCTGCCAATAAGGTCATCAAATAGTGTTATGAACATATACCTAGAGATTCACTCAAAAAGAAGTCTGGGAATCCAGGCATGTGATAAGAAAAAGTTACCAGCCATCTTTTTGAAATGCCATCCCATATCTCACCACTATTGGGATAAACAATTATTGCCTTTGCTGTCAACTGTGGAATTGAACTAGATCAGAAATGATGTGCCCAATTTCTAAGTTATAATTCTACGGAACTTATCTCATAAAGATAATTTTCTTACAAATGAGAATGATTACCTCCTTAAGTTCCTGGATGAGAGTTTGAATAAAATGGGGAGGTGCGCAGTTAATTCCAAATGCACTAACTTTGTCACTCCTATTAATTACATCAAGGCAATCCTTGAAGCTTTCTCCCGATGGCGCGTTCTTACCATCCACTGAGCTGAAACATATCCAAGAAGGAATCTGTACATTTTCTTCTTCAAGCAGCTCCACACATGCCTGCAGCATCAGTTTCATAATGTGGTACGGAAAATTTCAATGAACCAACCTCCAAGCCTAGTATTGCCTTGGCGAAAACTACCAAATAAAGTAAAAACTCAGAACGTTTAGCTACAAATTATGTCAATTTCAAAGGGTGCAGGCAAAAATCATTTGTCACTCTAGAAGGCATTTTAAGCACCATTTTTTGTTAAGACACACAGAAGATTTGGCATTTGAGCCTAGATTTCCGTCTGTATTGAAGTCATATGAGGCACCTTGGAGCTCTTATTTTCACTACGTGGGAAATAAAATCTGTCCTACTTTAGCTGTGTTATTAAGAATTATACTGGGAATACATTGTTTGAATAATAAAAAAAAGAATGGTTAAGAAACTGTTTATGCCAGTGTTTTTACTGTGTAAGCAATTTAATAGATCCATGTTTCAAAAATAATGTTATTGACCTGCCAAGACAAATAAATATATGAAGATGTCAATTATACGAATGTTTTCTGCTCTTAATCAGGAACCGAATAAGATAGATATCTGCGTACGGGTAAAATCAGGGATAATGTTACTCCGATTTCCCGGTAAAGAAACGAGAGGGAAACATGATCTGACGCAACCTCAAGTAAAGCCAAAGTGTTCCTCGTTTCGGAGCCCGGGAAACGGTACATCCGGGATCGGACAGGGCTGAACACCGGGTCCGGACAGAGTAAAGGTTCGAGACTAAGGAAAAAAAACGGTTAAGCACGATAAGCAGGGAGCCATAATATCCATCCTCAACCGGATATTACGGCGCAAATCCCGCCCGATATAAATTGCAGGTCGACGTTTAATGAAATAAAGAAAATTTTTACCTTATTTAGACTTGTACTAGGATTAAATTCCCCTACTATATATACTATATAAAGGGGATAACTTTTTTATTTTTAACCACTATTGGCATGCATGTCAAAGCAATAAAGTTCATTTTTGTCTTCTAGCTATCTTTAGTTTCGGTTTTCATCAGTTACAACCGAGCCCATATCGAGGGCTCGATCGGAGCCAATTTCAGTGTTCAACTTAAAGCTAGGCTTAATCATTCCATCGTGTTTGGTTTGATCGTTTTATCTCTTTAATTTAATTATTTGTTGTTCTTAGATCGTTCTATTAAATTAAATCCGTATTCTTTAAACCGTGAACGAATTTAATTGTTACTCATTTTAAAGGTAAATAATATCTACAATGATTAACAAGATGCCTGATGAACATTACTGCAAACAATAATTTGACAAAATAATGGCGATCTATATACAAGGAATTAAATGCAAGACAATACCTGAGCTTCTAATTTGTTGGGAATGGTCTCAAATGCCAGTATATCTGGTCCTGCATCCACAAGAACTTGTAGTCTATGTCGATGGAAATCCTTGAGCTTATCCAGACATACATGTGGTCCATAATCTCCGCTGGGAGGAACAAAGTTCACAAGATGAAGATTTTTGGGACCTCAAACATACATTAAATGTAATTGAATTTTTTCATAATAAAACAAGGTCATCTACCTGTACTCTGAACCATCAGCAAGATAAGCTCCATAGCTTCCAATTGAGGCTGCAACCAGAGCCCTGTTATAGCTCTGTGTGGGATTTCTTTTCACTACATTCCAGAACTTATCCCGGGCTTCAACTGCTAACTTCACACTTTTCTCTAACAAGGATTCTGCTTCTTCAATGGATAATCCCCTTGATAAAAATCCTGGAATTGTGGCCTACAACCATAAAAATCTGCCTTATAAACTGTCAATAAGTAGGATTTTTATCTGATTAGCCATAATGTACCTGGTAGGATGAGGTCACTAGTATATCTGCGCCAGCTTCCAGATATTCCAAATGTACCTGCGCGCATTCAAGTAATTCACCGTTACAGCTAGCCACATTGCTAAATATTAGTAGTGCGCAAACAAGATCGGGATTATGGCGTACCCGTTTGACAAGATCGGGATCTTTGATCAAGCAAAGAGCGCTCCAGAGAGGATCATTAATGGAAGCGCCATGCTTCTCGAGTTGCGTGGCCAAACCGCCATCAACGACGGCACAACCCCCTGCTTTCTCAATCAGATCATCTAACAACGCACTAGCTTTGACAATACCCATTTCTCAAAATTCTTTTTTTGCTCCTTCTGGTGTTAGGGCTAGAGCGAACAAATCAACAAAGTGGTTTATGGGAGAGATTTTATAGGCGCCAGTTAGGTGACACAGAATTCAATCACGCGTTATTCGGTGGACTCGAAATTTTTTATCCTATGCATGGACTTATTTTCCTGTGTGTAAATTATAAATAGACGTGCAAATAGCACAGCTGTGAACGCGGACGCTTTAAGAAAGTAAGTTCATCCTAGAATTGGGTTGGTCCATGTTATGTGTCTCGGTTCAACTCTCCACTATCGCTATCTTACCTACCTAAATCTTATACACCTGCTGACTCATCATTTTAGCTAGTGTTTTGGCTCTAAATTATTAAATTTGTTTTGAAAAATTTGATTTGGGTGAAATTGGTTTGAAGATGAAACGGTGTTGGATATCAGTTTTCAAAACATATTTCAATTTTTTTTAAAAAAAACATGAAACAGGTCCAAGATTTTAAAGTGTCACGACCCAAGTTCGCCCTCCGTGAACGGTCATGACGGCACCTAGTCTCTACGACTAGGTAAGCCCAATAAATTGCGGAAAAGGAAACGAAATACGAAACTAGCAAGAACTGCGAATAAACATAATAAAAAATGTTTAAGATGCCGCTCGGCATATACAAATACACACTCTAAAAACTGAATCAACTCCCAAAATCCGGAATCTCATGAAATCACAAGTTGTGGATACTTCATAGCGTTCTAACTCTAGAATGTCTAATCAAATGAAAGTACAGAAGGTCTATAGCTAAAAGAGAGAATAGAGAGGGACTTCTCGGTCTGCTTACGCGACAGATATACCTCGAAGTCTTTAAAGATCACCTCGTCTCACTAATAGTATGGCTGAACCGAAGAACCTGGATCTGCACACGAAAAACATGTGCAGAAAAGGGCATGAGTACACTACAGCGGTACCCAGTAAGTGCCAAGCCTAACCTCGGTCGAGTATTGACGAGGAAGGTCAGGGCCCTACTGGTTATATACATAAAACGGGATAAACAGAAAGAAATATGACAATATAATTAAAGCACTCAGTACACAGAGATAGCAATAGGGGATCTCCCAGGATATCGTCCTGTAGTCCCAAACGTAAAAGTGTAGAGGATCTCCCGGAATACCAATTCGTAGTCCCAAAGTAAATATCCAGTACAGGAAAATCTCACGGGTGTCGTCCCGTAGTCCCAAATATAATCGTGCAAGGGGATCTCCCGGAATACCGATCCGTAGTACCAAAGTAAACATGCATGGGAATCTCCCAGGATATCATCCAGTAGTTCCAAAGTAAACAAACAATAGTATCAAGAAAGAATTTGCAGTTCTATTCATGGATAAATAGGAATTCTACTTTGAATATGCTGCACAGAATACAAGTAGGCAGATAAAGCAGGTAAGACAATTAGAG